CCCTCTGTGTCCTCACGGCGGCAGGGGTGAGGGAGCTCTCTGGGGTCCTCCCAAAGGCTCCATCTCCTGGTACCATCACACGGGGATCAGGTTTCATCGTATGAATTGGGGGGAGGGGGGACACAAACATTCTGGCTGCAGCAGGAGGATAGCCACTGCCAGCTCACTCAGTCCCCGCCTCCCAGCGGGGCCTCAGGAGGAGAGTCCATGTTCACTGCCGTCCAGTTCATGGTTGTGGGCCTTGGGGAGCAGGTTCGCCTGGCGGAGTGCCCGAGCCCGCAGGCTGGCCGTGCGTGCTGACGAGGGGACTGGTGCGAGTGGCGTCCTGGCACCCGAGGAGGGACTTCCGGGACGGACAGGACCCGGAGTTTGAAATGGTTCAGAGGTGTGACCAAGGGCGCGGGAGGGGCACTAGGCTTGGCCAGTTGAAGTCATTTAGCCAGTTTGAGAGCATTGGTCCAGTTCATCCCCAGGAGGAGTCACCGGCTGGGAGACCAGTGGCTTTGGCGGGTTCCCATTTGCTCCTGGAAGAGAGGTTTAAAGAATGAGCCTAGCCTGGCGGCGTGTCAGCAGCACGCAGAGTCCATGCATTGCTTCCCAGCAGGCGGGGTTTCCACACCTCCATTCCCACTGGAACGCCCCATCTGTCACCCGAGACATTCAGTAAAGCCGTCCTGGAGCTCATTTATCTTTCATGCCCCTGCAAGTTCAGGTTCATCAAATAATCATTGCTTATTTCCACGTCTTGCTCTGCGGTGCCTCCCACGGTCCTGTGACAGGTCTTATGAAGACGGCCTTGAGCCAGAGCAAACCTGTCCTGAAGGTGATGCAGCTGCCCCGAGGGGAGCAGGGAGACAGTCAGGAAGTCTCTGGGGCTCCTGTCTTCTGCACACTAAGCCCTGGTACGTCCCTTATTCAAACTTATTTTTAGATGCACAGTTCAAGCATGCAGGGTTGAGCCTCACAGGATTTAAGAACATTTCACGGATTCCGAGTACTTGGCGTCAGCTGGCAAACAAGCCAGGCTTCTCAGCTCACCCGTCTTCAGTAACTTCGGGCCTGGGGGCGGCCCCAGCTCACAGTTAGAACCAGGGGAGCTGCAGAACGCAGGCTTCGAGGCTTCATGACAGGAAATTCAAGTTCCTAAGGGCTTCTGACAAGTGCTGGGTGCCCTCTGCAGACGTGCAGCGGTGAGAACAGGGTCCTGCAGAAGGTCTCTAACCGCCGGGGCAGGAACCCGCCGAGATGGCGGCGCTGGTGGGGTGTCATTTGGGAGCAGAGGGAGCCCAGGTGCACCTCTGGAGCTCTCCAAGCAGAGAGTGAGGGCGTGTGTAGCAAGAGCCGTCCCGGAGGCAGTGGGATCAGAGGGAGCCAGCGGTGTGGGGGGAGGTGGGCAGTGGCTACATTGTTTCTGTTTTGCAAGATGAATACACTGTTAACACTACTAAACTGTACGCTTAAAAATGGTGAAGATCCTACACTTTTTGTTTTTTTACAATTTTAAAAAATGCATTAAAAAAAATAGAGTCCCAGATCCCAGACTTCTTGACCTGCCACCTGCGTGACACTCCCGCGCCCGGTGTCCTGAGGACAGCCTTGCTGAAAGCCACGTGGCATTTCTGTGGCACCCCCAGGCCCAGCCCCGTCCCTCCGCTAGTGAGCCGGGCCTCGTGGGGCCTCCGGCTTTCCTTTGGCTTCTGCCGAGGGTGGCGTGAGGCCTCCCGTGCTGTCCCTTTCTTTCTGGGCCCGAACGCGGACTTTGCCCCTCTGGGTCTCTGTTCCCAGCAGTGGGAGGAGGAAGCAGTTTAATAACTGAGCGTCCTCCTCTGAGATGGGAGTCACTGGAGCTCGCACCTGCCATCCCCAGCTCCTGCCGCCCAGAGCAGGGCCCCGCTGTCCCTCGAGGGAGACAGACCACAGAGTCCGGCAGAGGGAACGGACAGGAGCGGCCAGTCCTGCAGCCAGAGGACGCAGGGCCTCTGCTGTCCCCAGCACGCTGACTCCCGGGCGCCCTGCCTGTGTCCTGAAGGGTCTTTTCCCTCAGTCTCCGTCGGTGTCCCCTGCAGAGGCACTGACCCCGCCCCATGCCCGTCCGCATTACTGAACTGACGTAGGTCTTACTCCCCATCCCCAGAGGAGTCACCACTGAAGGTCGCCCGGCTGGGAAGTGTCAGGCCCAGAACTGAACTTGGGACCTGCAGTCCAGTGTCTCGCCCGCCAAGTTATCTCGCTTCCTCACAGGTGCAGGTGCAGGTGCAGTGCAGGTGCGCACTCACCAGCCGGGAGATAACCTGGGCTGTGTGTGGGCTCACAGAGCGCCCGACTGGGGGTGGGGGTGTCAATAAAGGCAGATGCGTTTTAAATCAGCCCCGGGGGCAGGGAGCGTCCAGGGAAACTGGCACTGAGCCCGCGGAGGAGGGACCCTGGTTACAGGGAGGGGGTCCTGGGTCTGGGAGCCTCTGCAGAGAAGGGACGGATGTGTCACGCGAAGTAAGGGAACGAGGAAGCGCGTGTGTACTCAGGCCGCTGCCCTGGGCACTCCCATAGGCGCTTCCCATTCACCTGCTCTGGTCCTCACGGCCGGGCCTGCAGCTGTTGTCAGCTGTGTGTTCTGATTGGTTCAAGATGAGCCGCGAGCACATCCACGGGGTAGAGCCAGGCCTGCCCTGCACCATCCGGGGGTCGAGTCTGTGGAGGACTTGGCGGGAGGAAAGCACGTCTGTGCTCTGGTCTGCCTGCCGTTCCCTCAGGCACACGTCTCCCTTCACCGTGTGGGGCGGTGGTGCCCGGCCCTCTGGGGAGCCCACCCCCCACGGCGGCTCCCCGAGACCACCCAGGGCGGTTCGGCGCACTCCGCACAGCTGGGCGACATGTCTGCATGGACATCTTTGATGAGCGTCTGTGTCCCTGCTGGGCCAAGTGCCATGAGGGTGGGCACCCATTATATATCTGCTCTCTGTCCAGGCGCAGGGCCTGGCACAGTTAGACACTCGGGAAACAGCTGTGCTTGGATGAGTGGCGGACAGAGCTGAAGGAGGGGAGACATTGCTGATGGGGGAGCTCACTGAGCGCAGGAAGCAGGGAGAGGGGAGGCCACAAGGAGGCAGGCACACAGTGACCCGGGTCGTGTGGGGCGAGGCTGCTCCCTGAGGAGGCGGTGCTGGGGCTGAGACCTGGGTGTGAAGCGTGGGCCCCCGAGGTGGGGAGGAGAAACAGGCTGGGCAGGTCTGAGGATGAGAAAGGCTGGAGGAGGTGAGATTGGGTAGAGCCAGTGGCCAGCACCTGCCCAACCTGAAGGCTGTAGGGGGGAGGGGCAGGGGTGAAGCAGAGAGACGTGATGGAGAGGCTGTGGGCAGTCTGTGCCTGGCAGGGGGGCATAGTGGCCGTGGAGAGACGGGGGAAGGGGGCTGACCTGGGTGGGTCAGTGCAGTGCAGGGGGGGGGGGTGAGGAGGAGCAGTTTGAGGGGTTGGGTTTGGAAAGGTTATTTGGGGTGTCTGTAGCCGGGCTGCAGATGAAGCTGGAAGCCGAGCTCATGATGTGGCTGAGTTACTGGTGAGGTTGTAGACTCGGAGGAGAGGGGTCCCCCGTTGGAGCCCTGGAGCAGCCCTACATGTTGAGGTCGGGCAGGGCAGGAGTCTCCAGTGAAGGCGACGTGGTGGGCAAGGTGGGGGTGCCAGGCAGGCCAGGGGGACAGCGTGTCACAGTCCCAAACCCGGAACTGCCTCGTGGGCACCGGGTGCCTTGCGCACGCCTCGGCCTCCCGACCTGTGGCCGTGGGCCTCATGCTGTCCCTGTCAGCGGGGCGGTCCAGGTCGGCGGCCTCCATGGTGCTGTCACAGCTGCGGGCTCACCCGGGACTCCTCCAGGGCTCAGCCTCTGCTCCGCCGCTGGCTGGCGCGTGACATCTCGTGCCGAGGCCTCGGGCTGCTGCCGCCTTCAGGACCTCTCTCCCACCGAGTCAGGCGGTTAGTCTTGATTCCGTCGCGGCCAGAACTGAGTGCGATCCACACCAGTTGGCTTTCTGGACCTCCGTGTCCATGCTGAGCGGTCATCCTCTGATGGTGCCCTCTCCTCCCGGCGTCCTGGCGCCTGGGTGCCTGCAGCTGTACCGCGGCAGGTGCTGCCTCAGGTGTCAGCTGGGGCGTCAGTCCTGCCCTGTGTTTGCCGAGATCTCGGGGTTCATCTCTAGAAGCGTGATTACCAGGCCAAAGGATCGGTGCGTGCATACTTTTTTCTAGACATTAACTATTTTTGCTGAAACTTTGCTTATGTAGTTGAATTTTATTATCTTAACACATTCACCTAGAAAAAATCGCTTTATTTTGCCATTAAAAATACTTTTTAAAAATGTATTTTTATTGATTTCAGAGAGGAAGGGAGAGGGAGAGAGAGATAGAAGCATCAATGATGAGAGAGAATCATGGACCGGCTGCCTCCTGAGGGAGCCTGCAACCCGGCATGTGCCCTTGACCAGAATCAAACCCGGGACCCTTCAGTCCATAGGCTGACGCTCTATCTACTGAGCCAAACCAGCCCGGGCTATTTGCCACTTGAATGTGAAAGGAATCTCAGACACCCCGTCCCCCTGTGGAGCGTGTTGCTGGAAGTGCTCTTCTGTTGGGTCCATTTCTGTTGACTGACTGCACTGTCACCGAGTATAGAACACACGAGATGAAACGGTGGCTGAGGCGTGATCCTGAACCTCAGGAGACTGCAGGTGGAACATGGGAGTTACTTTCTCCTGTTTGCTCCTCATTCTGTTGGCTGTATGTTTGTCCCATGTTGGTGCCAAAAGACTGGAAGAGGCGCTGGGAATCGTTGCCGCAGGGTCTGGGGGGCAGAGAGGGCGTAGGGGAGCCTCGGGGATGCGCTCACCAGGTGGGGCTCCTCCCTTCACTGACTGGACGGCTGCGCACGAGGTGCCGGGCACTTGCATCATGGCTCAGGAGACAGGTCAGACCAGGAGCTTTGGGGTCTGACGGTGCTGCTGCTGGGAGGGGCGCTCGGGAGGGATTCCCTAGGGTCTCACTGGGCCTCTGTGGGGGCAGCTGACACAGCGATGCAGGGGGGAAGGAGGTCAGGCACAGGAGGAGCATGTGCAAGACTGAAACAAAGCAGGGGGCGGGGGAAGGCCGGGCAGGACTCGGCGTTTTAGTTCATCAGGAAACCTCGGGACAGAAACAAGGGAGGGCATCTGGTACCACACGTCACGTGTCCGCTCTCCCTGGGGACTGCAGGGCGGCTCTGACATGGCGTGTTGGCTGCGGAAACAGCAGTATTGTCCCCCGAAGTCCCAGGTGGGGGGTGCTCCTTCTGGTCCTGTATGCGGGCGGCTGTTCCTCGCGCTCACGGGGCCTTCTGCGGGCTCCTTTCCCAGTAGCGCCCGCTGCGCTCGGGTCCCTCAGGGAGTGGTGGTGCTGGCTGTGACGTGCTGTGCACAGGAGCATGACATCTGCACCTCTCTCTTCAGACCTGCACCCCACAGACAGCGCTCGGGAAGAGAGTCCCTCCGCGGGTGCAGGCACGTCTGTGCTGCTCGCACGTTGGCATCCGCTTCATCACGGAACCGGCAGCAGTGCCCTGGGCAGCCAGGCCCTTTCACCGTGTCTGTTTGTTTCTGTCGCAGGAGACTGGAGTGGCGCCTGGGCGGGGAGTCCTCAGCGGGAGGAGCCGCACACCTGGGCCCCAGGAGCTGGCTTCCGGGGAAGGCTCCGGCGGATGTGCAGGAGGCGGGATGTCACACTGACCCTTCCCGGGGAGCCTGCGGGGGCCCGAGACCAGCACGCAGCCTCTCGGCCTCGGCGGCGAGGGACACTGTGCACCGCCGTCTCTGCGTGAGAAGTGCGAGGCCGTCCACACGAGGGAGCTTCCAGGGGCTTCCAAACGCCCGCCAAGGCCTGCAGCCGGAGCCCGTGGAATGTTGACGCTCGGGACCCAAAAGGGAGCTCGGCGTTCATGAGCCCAGGATTCGCGCGGGCGTGCGTGTCGCTGCATCGTCGGTAGAGACCGAGGGGACACTATGCAGGAAGAAGCCTTCCTCAGGAAGGCAGGCAGGGCAGAGCTTAGGCCCACCTTGAACCCCCCGAGCAGAGCGAGCCTGAGATAAGCCGCCAGCATGGCCAAGTGCGAGGCTCAGCGACCTCGCGCCCTGTAACTGTAGTAGCCGCAGGAACTTTCTCCTCTGCGCCACGATACCAAATAGGAAACATGATCTACAAGTGCCCCATGTGTAGGGAGTTTTTCTCTGAGAGAGCAGACCTTTTCATGCATCAGAAAGTCCACACGGCCGAGAAGCCCCATAAGTGTGACAAGTGCGACAAGGGTTTCTTTCACATATCAGAGCTCCACATTCACTGGAGAGACCACACAGGAGAGAAGGTCTATAAATGCGATGATTGCGGTAAGGATTTCAGCACCACAACGAAACTTAACAGACATAAGAAAATCCACACAGTAGAAAAGCCCTATAAATGTTATGAGTGTGGCAAAGCCTTCAATTGGAGCTCACACCTTCAGATTCACATGAGAGTTCATACAGGCGAGAAACCCTATGTCTGCAGCGAGTGTGGGAGGGGCTTTAGTAATAGCTCAAACCTGTGCATGCATCAGAGAGTCCACACCGGAGAGAAACCCTTCAAATGCGAAGAGTGTGGGAAGGCCTTCCGGCACACTTCCAGCCTCTGCATGCATCAAAGGGTTCACACGGGGGAGAAGCCCTATAAATGTTACGAGTGTGGGAAGGCCTTCAGCCAGAGCTCTAGCCTCTGCATTCACCAGAGAGTGCACACTGGGGAGAAGCCCTACAGGTGCTGTGGGTGTGGGAAGGCCTTCAGCCAGAGCTCCAGCCTCTGCATCCACCAGAGAGTGCACACTGGGGAGAAGCCTTTTAAATGCGATGAGTGTGGGAAGGCCTTCAGCCAGAGCACCAGCCTCTGCATCCACCAGAGAGTGCACACAAAGGAGAGAAACCATCTCAAAATATCAGTTATATAGAGCGTTTTGCTAAGAGTTAAAAATCTTAAAACCCATAAGTGCCACTAGGAAGGAAACCCTATGAATACCTGCATTGACCCAAGAAATTGCTCCTGGAAGCCCCGGCAGAACGTTCTTTTTGAGGAGGTATAGGTGAGGCGGTTTGTTTTTAATTCCTACCAAGTGTGTTCCACAACTTGATGTCCCTCCGGGCGTCTGCCCAGGATGGGTTGTGAGGTCCCGGCCATCTCCCATTCACGGAATGCGGGGGGGTGTTTCCTGGGCTTCCGGCCCGATGCCTCTCTAGTTGAGTGCTACACGGGAAACCATGATCATCACCCAGCCTCCCGCGTCACCTCCACGGACGCTTCACCCACCAGCGAGTGTCCGGGTACCCCTGTCAGGAGCTCAGGACCCCCTTCTCTGGATCAGCGTGTCAGTCAGTGCTTTGAAAGGGACCGCTCCCCGAGGCAGTGCTCTGGAATTTCTCCATAGATCCCATTGTCTGTCGCCCCACTTCCCTGCGTGTCCTCAAAGTCCTTTCCCAGAAGCACCACCCTTCCTAGATGGCATCCGATCTCACTAGGTTTCAGGCGGCTCGGGCGCCACTCGCGCGGCCCATCAGGAGTCATTGGCAGGCGCACGCTCCCTTAAACATTTTTTTTTTAATTTTGTGGATTCTGCTAATCACTGTGTTCCTTCCTGTTAGACTTACTTTCTAGCGGCTCCATCACCTATTTCTAACTTGAACCTTTTTTTTTGGAATTAGCTGAATGCAAATAGGGAGGAGTAGGCAGAGGTGGAACTTTTCTGTGCCCAGATTGCCCTCGGGCTCCTTTGTGACTGGATCCTTCTGGGCCAGGGCAGCCCGCGGGGCTGGGTGGTGGGAGGAGCCACTGTTATAGTCTCATCCCTGTGATTCTGGGCAGTGGCAGCCCGGAGCCCTCGGTGACCCCTTGGTTGAGGATTACCTATCGGTTCCTTTTTAGGCCTGAATGTCTATGCTAGTTACCTTTTCTTTATTCATTCATTCGAGTATTTATTGAACACCTCCTATGTGCCAGGCACTGTGCTGGGTGCAGGGAATGCCACTGAATCAGACAGACAAGGGCCCCTACTCATGGAGTTTACTTCTGGTGGAGGAGACAGGCGATGAGTAAACAAACATAACGTAGTTTGAGGTAGTGATTAAGTGCTATGAAGAAAATAAACTGGGGTGATGTAAATCGAGG